CAAATATTTGTTTTACTAGTGTTCATCCTAGTGAATTGTGACTTTTTTTAGTCGAAAGATAAATGCATTCCCTTTCGAATAAGGGACAGAAACTCTGTAATGAAACCTCGATATTGAAGCAATTATGACTTTTTTAGAACCACGAAAACCAAATCAAATCAAAATTAAAAAAAAAACGATTTCTCTCATCTGCATCGGTAATGAGTTCTTTTTCAAATGAAAGTAGTCCGAGCGCTATTTATAGTATATAGCATTAGGTTTTTTGTTTTTATCGAAATTATCTGTGGATTTATTAAATGAACGTACATGTCAAACTACGTTCGGAATTACATGAATGATTAAAAGCATAAAGATAATTCATAAACCAACAGTAACAGGATGAATACAATATCCGATATTAGTGAAATAAGAAAGTAAAAGATATTGCTATTTAAAGTAAAAGAAAAAATCGATTTTTCTGTCAATTGACTTTTATTGAAGAACATGTATCATCAATTGCAGAAATTTTTCATTTGTCTCTATTTCATGTTAATAAAATCCTGTTTAAAGATCCTATTCTAGTTGCATGTTTTATTCCATTAAGAGGCGTTCCATGAGAGATTTGAGCATTGTGCTATACGGGTGTCACATGGTCAAAATTCAAATTGAAGCATGACTATGCTCATTAGCTAGCCCATGTCGAGAAACCTTTATAGCCAAAACTTTACACCAAACAAATGTTTTCTCGCCAAGATATGAAATTTTTAAAAAATAGGTTTTTTTTAACTTTCTCAATTCTCTCAAAAATAAGGCATGTCGTGTTTGGCTTTTTTCTCTGTCATTTTGCAACCGATTTTTTTGAACAACGTTTCGTTTTAAAGAGAAAAGAAAACTGAAGAAAATGAAATAGCTTTTACGTGTCGAAAATAATATTTAGGAATCAAAAAAATTAAAAAAAAATGAGTTTTTGAGTTTAAAAAAAATACCAAGGTAACCTTTTTGTACCACAAATTTTATCAACCTATTTTGTAGAGAATGTTTTTCTCTACAATTTGCACTAAAGCATGTAGTTTTGAGAGGTCAGCAAAGTCCTCAAAATTCAAACTATCGGAGATGAGCATTAAGGTTAAAAACTTCAAAAATTCGAAAATCAATTGTTTTGACTTCCAATAATGGATATAGATGAAACTAAGATTGGGAAGTAGAGGATCCACTGCGAAGACGATTTTGAATTGGTTCTAATGAAATTTTGGGACTCATGTTTTTCTCCTGTTCGTCCTTAAATTCATTGAAATTGAGCGTTATGATCTCTGGTCAACGCAATTTTGCCCGTGTCGCCTTCCGACGAGAGATACCTTGAATAATATATGTATGGTAACAAAGTACATGTATTATTCATTCATCTCACTTGCTCTCTCTCTCTCTCTTCTGTTACATGAGTAGATGAATTGTCGGTTCGAACTAATCTGACCTCTTCACTCCAATGGGGCGAGCGATAGTATACCGTAAACAAAAGTAACAATGATGAAGTACAAAATAGATTGATGTGGACTACCTTCACACAAGTAATTTTTACTCTCTTGTTCATACTGTGGCAAAGAGATATGTATTGTATGAGCAATGACCGATAAGAAAGAAAGAAGAAGAGAAGAAACAAGGAGTGATGATAAACAAAGAGAGACTGGTAGCCATAAAATGAACATCTCTTCATCAATTTTTATTTATCATTGTGAAACTCTATCACTCTATTTCTCCACGACTGCTTGTCTCTTACTGATCAAATTATTCGAATGTCTGCGAAGAAGACTTCTTTGGTAAATGATAGTGATTGTGATGGAGACAGCAAGAGCACCTTCCGATGTCTAATCGATCGACACAAGAAGTTGAACAAGTTTCAGCTTCCAAAGGCATGTTCAGAGGCTCAGGCTATTCTTTATCGAGCCGATATTAATGACGAATCGAAGGTGGATTTGAGTCAAACATTCATTTGCAGTCGTCATTTCAGCCGACTTTTCGTAGAGTTTAATCCGACGAAGATCAAACAGTGTTATACCTGTGCTTCATTGTTTGGACTATCTCCTCCTAGTTCGAAGCAATTGAGACAAATCACCCGTAAAAATGCATTAGGTATTCAGGCCAACTTTAATCTCAAACATTCGTATGGGGAATTTATTTGTGGCCTCGGTCGTAGAGGTCACGATGATTACAAAAACGCTTATTTGTCGAAAGGAATGTCGCATTTTATCGAAATGCGTAAGAATCGACAGCAAACTACTACTGATGCACTTATAATCAATGAAGATGATAATGATACGGAAGAAATATCAAGCGACGAGCACTCAAATGCAGACGATGATGAAGATTTTGTGCTGGACAGCAATAAGGAATCGTCGCAACTGTGTCGTAAAGCTCTCGACCACCTATTGAGTCTGTGTGACAACAAGAATCGAGCGTGGGTGACCTGCAACTATCGAGCATTGACAGGGTGGACTCGTCTAAACTATCTAACGCGCGCTCGTTCTATCATTGAAAGCGTGATGAGGATCATGGTCGAAGACGATGTTAAAAAGTTGGAAAATGATTTCTTTTGCTCAGCGGAGTGATACGAGCGTGGTAAAACTCGATAGTAATTTTCTTTCGATAATGAAAGATGTGTCAGAGGCCCTACAAGAACGCTGAGTCGTGGCCGACGCGTCGTGAAATTTTATCAATCATCGCACCCCAATTAGGTTTTAAATTAATCCAATCGTTTTTTTCCGATCTTCCGCGTGGCTGTTTTACCGCTGCTCGCGCACATGCGGCCGAGTTCGGCCATGGTGCTGCCATAGATAAGTCGCTCGCCGTGATTCAACGCTTTGACTACGATCAGCTTGGACATTTCATCGAAATTATCACATCAGAGCACGTCTCCATGGATCTTTCCTTCGGAGAACGGTGCCTCAAACAACCGAATGGAAACGAACTATTCGTACCCAACACTATCCGAAACATGATTCCGATGCGCATTATGCAGCAATAGCACTTTTCTTTTCGAGAAAAGTCGCTCAGCGGTCGTCCATTAGGACAGAGCAGCCTATACTCGTTACTCGACGTGTCGCAAAGCATCGACACGCAAATCTCTACAAGGCATTAACTGTTTTGCCGCTGATGCAGGCGAAACCTTTGACTCAATTGAAAAACTGGTTGACGAACTTCATCTTGACATAATGAAACATCGTCGACTGCTTGAGAATCTGAAGCGAGGTCGACAGTATTTGAAAACTGACTACAAGATGCATATCACCGAATCTTCTACTATAGGTGATCATTGTGCCACATTTGCACTGTCCGACAAATCTGATAAAGACTTTCTGCAGATATGCGATCACGAACATAACAACGTATGCGACGAGTGTGTCAATCTTCGGTTCACATTCGAAGAAATCAAACACGCCATCGACAACTCTTCCGATGATAAGCAAGTATCGAGTCGCCTACTTCCCAAGTGTGGGTGTGGGTATAGATGATGAGAAGACCAGCAGTCCAAATTCACACTAACACCCCGATGCTCACAGTCACACTCGTACCCACACCCACACCCACATCCTACTACTATTTCAGGTATAAATAAGAATTTTTATTATAGAAGAGATATTTTCCGTCTAGTTATTGTCGAAATACGAGGAAAAATTCAATAAAAATCTGTGTTTTCTGCAAATGGTTTTTAAAAAATTTGTTAATATTTAGATTGGTGTAAATGTTACACCTTCAATTGTTGAAAATAATGAATTAAAATCAAATGCATATGAAATTCGAAAATATAATAAGCAATTTAATTATGATATAAACTATGACGCGAATGTCTTGGCACAAGATGTTCGCTCATTTCTCGGTTACTTAGAAGCAACTGATGAGTGCTAAAAACAGTTAGTTAGAATCAAAATTTTACCCTCTTTCGGAATAAATGCTCAGAATTTCATTCGGACGTTAGTTTAGTCACGTATGAGCAAATGTTTTGAAAGAGTCTAAAATGACGCCTGTACAGAGGTTTATTTTAGCTATTGATTGAAACCCACTCAAGTTAAAATGCAAAAACAGTTTTAATAGTGCGGTTTTGTAGAGCAAAGCTTCCTCTATAAAATGTGCTATTTGCTTTTGTTTGATCTTATATCAAAGATTTGAAATATTTCTTTATTTTAAAAAGCGATTTCTCTTCAAACGCCTTTTTGACAAATGCTACTTTACATGGAAAATAGTTCTTCGGAAAAAGAAGCTTAACTTTTGAGTGATTTGAGATTTCACTTATGGTGATACCTCATTTCCTAGAGAATTGAATTCTCTAAAAAACCATCATGTTAAAACTGTTCTAAAATACAAACGAGATAAACTATGGACTGCGGAGAAACCCTATTTTGCATTGTACAGACATCATTTTAGATCCTTTCAAAACATTTGCTCATACGTGACTAAACTAACGTCCGAATGAAATTCTGAGCATTTATTCCGAAAGAGCGTAAAATTTTGATTCTAACTAACTGCTTTTGGCACTCATCAGTTTCTTCTAAGTGACCGAGAAATAAGCGAACATCTTGTGCCAAGACTTTCGCGCCATATGCTCTTATGTGCTGCTTTATGGAGATTTTTTTAATTCATTAATAAAATAATAAGATTTTATTAAAAGGAGTTAATTAAATGTTTTAGTTAAATATAAACGAATTAAATTTTTAATCGTAGCATTATATGATTCAATTGAAGTATACGTATGAGCACCAAAACTCTATCATAAACTGATGACACCTAAAGTATTTAATCAATTAACATATCGTTGATTATTATTTGATTTAAATATTGAAGAAGGTTCACGTTTAAAAGCTATTTACGGTTCATCATAGGGTTTTCATGCTGTTGATCTTGATACTAGTAATCAAATTAATATTTCTTTACTTTCACAAGTATTTTCTACTATTTTAATTATTTTAATTAAAAAACTTTTTCTTTTGTCTTTATTTATAAAATGAAGTTAAATGATTCAGTTGAACAACATGCAATTTTTTTTTCTTCCAAATACAAATGGAATACAACTTCTTTGCTATAATAGTATTTTATTCTTGAAAAGGTTTTTTAATAATAAAATTAATTTTGTTAGATGAAGAAGTTTATTGTGACACATATGCAAACAGAACAAAAGATATTTTATTACAATGGAGAGAATTACCTACTTCTGTTGGTTAGTTTTTTTAATTATTTTATTCGTTTTTTTAAATAAACTTTTTATTAAAGCATATATAAGTAATGGTAAATTAATGGGATGGGGAAATAAAGCTATTGAAATACGAAATCTTGATTCGGCTACATTAGATGGAGTTTTTATGCATAAAAGAGTATAAAAATTAAAGTAAGATTTTATTTATTTATTTGAAAATAATTTTTTTTCTATCTAAAGGTATGTGAAAAAAAACGAGAAAGGCTTTTTTTCTTCCATTCGGAATGGATGATCAAGTCAAATTTATTTTATATCTCTTAATAAAATGAATTCTTGGCAATTGAATTTATGCATTATATTATGTTATTTCAAACCTTTTTTTCTCAAATTAAATCTCGGTGATAGCTTTTTTTTCTTTTTAATTCATGTTTATTATATTATTTCATTTCGATTAATAATAAATTCATTTACAACAATTATTTTATCATTTTAACGAAAAAGAAAATATATATACAAGCGATATTCAATTTATCTAAAGTAATTATTCAATGCTCATTAAACATAAAATAATATGATTTAAATAAGAAAATATTAAATATTTATTTTTATCTTTAAAAATTTATAATTACAAATAAGATTTAGAGAATATTCAATATACTCCTTAATTCACTTTTAGATTTTAAAATTGAGAAAATATTTATTTAAAATGAATTTATTTAGAATAAAAAAAATCAAATCAAATTTTAAGTCCCATCATATTAAACTGTTCTTCTTTTGATGATTTTTCTTAAACGATGAGATTATCAAACGATTTATATGCGTCAGCTTTCTACTTCAAAAAATCCATCACAGGTTTAACTAAATGTTCAAGACTATCAGCATTCAATCCAGCACATGTCAAATGTCCTTCAGCTACTACAGTAGCTGCATTTGGAACATTCAAAAACAAAGTAACCGCACCAAAATACGAGTCACGAGTTAATCTTGCGGCTTCTGAACGAACTCCATCTGATGGTCTTTTTTGATATACAATTGCACAACCTAAAACAGAACCCTTTATAAACAAAGAAAAAGAAAATTTCTTTTTTACCATGATCAATAATATAACAATTTGTCCCAATCTCCCCTTCGACCATGACCTCCTCGCCATCATTGAACTCAACAATTACCAGATATCACGCTCTGTTCTCTAGATCCTCATCACTCAAATGACCAAACATTTGGATCGTGCCAAATAACTTTTTCCATTCATCCAAACGCTAAATAATGTAAATGGTACTTAGTAAAAGAGAAAATAACTCTTCTACTTACATCAAATACCGTCTTAAGATCTGCTTCATAATAAGACTCCAGCTCTTGCTCATCATCTGTTGTATTTTCATTATAGCTAGATATTCCTAAATAAAAAAAATTGAAAAAAGATCTGTATTCTTACCTAAAGTATTTGGTTGTCCATCAAGAAGAACACACTCATGTTCATCATCACTGATTGTTGGTTTTTATTATCATTGGATGCTTCTAAATGAAAGAGAAAATATTGAATTAAAACACGAATATTGACATTAGTATGTTTAGATTTACTTCGATGCTGATTCGTGGCCATTCTTTTTGGAAATGATGATTGTTGGATATATGCTTACATACATATATATATATATTAACAGTATCTCTAAGAGAAAAGAAGGTGATTTTCTCTATCGTTATTTCGACATTTGAAGTCATTAAAAATTACTCCAGGATATGCCCTGAATCAAAAGAACTAGTCGTTCGAAGCGAGTGAAAGAAAAAGACAGAGAACGCAAGAAAGTTTACAACAGAATTTGTAAAAAAAAAGCATCTCTCTATTCACATAACCCGAGCGACTTCCAATTCGAGATTTGGCTTACCTGATGTGAAAGTTAAGATATGGCAGTCCTGGATTAAACGTAAAACAAACAATTCGAAATCTATTACTATTTTTAAGAGCCAGTCCATATAAGCCACGATCAACTTCATAGAGATCCTACTCAATCGATATCGTCATATATTGCTCAATTTAAGATATGCTGAAGAGGAAAGAGTTTTATGAATTTTAACGCAAGCCTATTCAAAAAATATTGATCCGTCAGTTTTTTATGAGCATTTTACGAAAAGGCCTAAAAATGACCCTATATATGAATGGGGGCGCTAATGCAACGATATCTCACGAATGGCTTAACCACATGTGCTGAAATTTTTTACTGCCATATACCTCGGTGGGTTCTATTTACCATAAAATTTTCGTTTTAAAATATAGAGCCATTGTGATTTTATGAAGCACTCAATATATGAAAAAAGGTCCATTTTCGGTAACTTTGGCGCTTCATAACTTTTGATAGGAATAACATATAGGTCTGAAATTTCCACTGTTGATAGGATACTGAAAGATACATCTCTCCTGAAAATATCAGCTATCCATACCGTTCCATTTTCTCAGGACAGCCCCGTGAAAAACAAAATTTTGATAAATGTGGGGACTTTTAGGATAGGCTTTTTCCCAAGATATGAATTGTCGGGGGCACTGGTTATTAGAACTTTGAAGTACTCTCTTTGGGCTACAACCCCGTAAAAAATTAGCGTGGAATCTTCAAGAATGGCCCCAGAGCAGTCATTGCAAAATACAAAAAAATGAGCCCTTTCTATGGGAAACCTACTCAAGTGCATTTTGAAATTTCTGCAAGAATTCTACTATGTGATATAAATTTTATGTAGTAAAAATCAGCATTTAATTCTCTATTATCCTGTATTAAAATATCCTTTCAAAATGCAAAAAACATTTTTACAAAAATCCCTGTACCCCCCCCCCCCCCCCCCCCCCCCGCCCGCGCCCACACCACTGATGTTCTTTTTTCTATGTAACATAAAAAACCAACCATACC